CACACACAGATAGAAGAATAGAAGAAACATGCTCTCCATGCTCAAAGTTAACCCAACAGATACAAACTGAGATTGAAAACCATCCATAGACACAACACAAACACTACCCTTCGATATTCTTCATCTCTAACATGAAGATAAATCAAGCCACAGCGTAACCACAAAAGCCGCGTGAAGAAAGGAAGATTAAGTATGAAAGTACGGAACGAACAAAAAGAAAAAAACATAGCAGACCTTAAGCCACAAAACTGTTCTACAGCGTGTGCATGCAAGAGGAAGCAATGGAGAGAAGCCCTCCAGCTGAGAAATAGAAACAGAAACGAAGTAAAAATAGCAAGAGTTTATATATACGAGTAGGATAGAAACAAGATGAAGTGGGGCTCACAGTTCAAATAATGGGAATGGAAAAAGAGAGAGCGAATTACCATGTGAAGTGGATGAGCATTTGGAGGTGGGAATTTGTTTGAGCCAATCCTCATCTGGGAAGTGAGGGGCCTCTCAGCCCACAAACGCCTTGTGTGTTTCACAGCTCCCTTCCTTCGTTATCACTCTAATCTCTAAATACAAAGCAAATACAAAAATTTGAAAACAAAATTCATAGAGAGAGGACAGAGACAGAGTCACGGAGGCTGCTTATTTCTCCTCCTCTCTCTCTCTCTCTCACGTATGGATTCTCGATTTTCTGAAGAATAATTTAAATTTTCATTCCTATGGTGGAGGATGCATGTAGGTCGGATAACGAGTGCTACTATACTGTGCTTATGATTGATAATTGTGATACGTACAAAAAGTCCACATGATCTCTTCCCACAAAAGAGGAAATAACATCTATGATTTTTTATGGTAAATATGGCTAATCACAAGCTCACTTCACGCTTTTTTTTTTTTCAAAAAAAAATCCACGTTTTCTTTGTATTTGAAACAAATAGTCCTATCCATAATTTGATATAGGTTTTCTTATGTATAATTTAGTTATTTTGTTAAAAAAATTTAAAATTTTATAATATCTATACTCGTATTATTAATTTTTTGGAGGAAGTATACTCGTATTATTCTTAAACTTGATATAGTGTACTATTTTTTAAAGTAACATCAATATTTCCCTTGAAAAAACAATCTAATACGATGGGTATATAAATTCACAACTACGCATTATCAATAACACGTAATTAGAATTTTTTTTTTTATGTTTCCTATGGAAACCAGAGAATTCATGAAAACATGCAATCGTTGGGCCATAAAAAATAAAAATAAAAAGCACAAAATGATTCTGGGCGAAAAGAAGGAGCTAAAATTACAGAGAAAGTGTACAACTTTAAATAATTTCGTGTTTTAAGCAAGAACCAATAACATGTAGGATAAGAATAGGGAAATATTTCAGTAATCGACCCTTAATCGAATATAATGGAGAAAACACCTCATAATTTCTGAAATTTCACTGCAGGGATTGGGTACTGAAGTGAAATTAAACTTATGACGGAAATGACAAAATTACCCTCATTTAAATGAATAATATATTATAGATAAAATGACTTATTCGTTCCCATATTATATTTATTCATTTACTTGTGGAATATTGTTTATTTCTCAACTTCACTTATTTTATTTTCTACTTTCATTTGATTTTGTTCCAAGAGCCATAAACAAGTGAAGTAAGAAAATGAATAATATTCTGTAAATAATAAACAACATATAGTATATGAACAAACAATTTGTTTTATCATGAAACCATTATTTAGAATGAAATCAAGTGAAACTATGACTATAAACAAGTGACGCTAGATAATTAACAATATTTCGTAAGTAAATGAATAACATACAATATGGGAATGAACAAGTTATCTTATTTACCGTATGTTGTTTATGTAAATAAAAGTAATTTTATCATTTCCATCACAAATTTAATTTCACTTTAATATCCGATCCTTGTGAAATTTCAAAAAATTTGGACTCTCTTATTTAATATCTCAAGTCAATGATCCCCCACTGAAATTTCCCTAAGAATAGAGACAAGACGTTATAGGGAGGAGGTATTCAAGCCAATAGATAGAACGCATACCATGAAAATCCAATTAAAATTCACTGGTTAGCTATCTGTCTTTGTAATCTTCACAAGGATAATTAATTAAATATGACCTTCAATCATATAATTGAAGCATAAAAATTATAATTTCACTTCTTATTCGATAAATTTCGTTAAGATGAACTATAGCGTGACACCGTCTAAGAGCTCCGTATACTATATCTAAAAAACACCTGCATTCCAAATCCCTAATACCAACGCCTATGTATACGCCTTGATCGTATTGCACTGTCAAACATATACTATCTTTTTGATTTGTAAAGAAAAGTGGTGAAAAAGATAGGCACGTCTAATTTTATACTAAGCATAACGCCATTTAAAGAGATCTCTTTGGAAAAAAAAAAAAAAAACAGAGAGAGATCCATCAAGTGGGGCTTTGGATAGCCTGTCTCAAAATTATCCACGCTTATAAGAGAGGTAATAAGTTTTTTTTTTTTTTATATATGGGTAATAAGTATTTTCACTATCTATACAACTCATATTGGCCTATTGAACAAAAAGTAAACATTAATCTTTAATTAATTTACTTAAGGCTTTTTTTTCATTTTGGGGCAAGCATAATTTACTCAAGGCTTGAAAAGACCAATCTATGACATTCTATGGCTTTGCATATTTTAAGATTCATTGTATCATAATCCAATGTTTGGTAATGAAAAAAGTATTTAAAAAATAATAAATGTATCTATCTCATTTTTTAATGGATAATTAAATGTATTTTTTTTTCTTAAAAAATATCTGTTCATGTACTAAACATGCACTAAGTTTTTAACAACTGGTGAGTTAATATTTACTACCTCAAGTCTTATATATAAGTTTTTTTAATTGTTCAAAGTATCTCCAGCTAGCAGTCGTAAGACCAATCCTCAGAGAAATTTTAAATGTCATTTAAATGATTGTGCTATCTCAAATAATGTATTTTCACACCATTTTCGAGAATCAAACCCCTAATTATGCTTAAGGGCCCATATTGCTATTGTAACACCCTCAAATTTACAAACCGATTTTTTCACAATTTATTAATTCAATAAATCATTTTTTATTGAACCCTTATCATACCCTTATCATGGTAGAAAAATTTCTATCATGGTACATCCAAGACAATATACCACAAGTCTTAAAATATCTTAAAAAACAATTAGAACCATGAGGGACAAACAGGATCCTCATGGCATGATATTTAAATCAGGTCATGAATTAAGAGGGACGAACATAATCCTCTTGGTCAAATAAATACTTTTAATAAAAAGGATCAGAGTTTACATGCTTCACAAAAAAGATATGTCCTAAGTTGGCACAAGATACATTGTATAATTCAAAATAAGAGGCAACGTAAAAGATGGTGTTTCATACACCATAGTTACACCTCTGGTGCTTTCCTCGGCCGAACTCGCTCCTGTAAAAATATTAACCACGGGGAATGAGACTTAAAAGTCCTAGTAACCAGAAATTAATATGTAATGATGCATGCGGATGTAACTAATCATGCGATTGCTAAGTGGGCACACAAAACATTTAACCGAACAATACTTTCAAACAAACCGAACAAGTATTTAATTTGCATGACTGCATCTTATATCCTCCTTTCGCCATGCTCGGACGCCAAATCACCCGGCCAAAGGTGAGTTGGACCAAGCGACACGCCACTCATTGGGTCCAATGAGGGCTTACCACGTGGTAATAATTAACCGAACAGAAATTTCCATTAACACCATACATTAAAATACCCTGACAAGTCATGCATCATTCAAATATCCAAACAGAAATATATCCGAACAATAATATCTCATCATGATAAACAAAAAATAAATTTTTAACCCACTTGGCAATAATTTCAAACAAGTATATACAATATTTATTTTCAATAATTCATAATTTTTTTCAACAACAAAACAACACATAACCATTCACAAACACACCCATCACAATACATTAATAATGGTTACCTTGTGTCTTGAATAACAAGTTCCCCTTCACAACTCCTTTTTCACCACTATTTTTGTCAATATAATCTACATAATTATTTCACAATACTATATATTAATTTTATATTAAATAAATAACTCTAATTTAAAGAGTTAGAAAGTCTTAGATCTATAATCCATATTAACACTTTTAAGATTTATGCCTCATTTAACTTCCCAAATTCTTTCTAAAATTCTCGTACCTTAATAAACTATTTTTTTATCCTCAAATCACTTCTAGTATCATAATTTCATCCTTCTATGTTCTAAAAATTCATTCAAAAATAAATTAAAAATTTTAGAATTATCCTGAAGCTTCAAATCACCTTTCTATAACCTCAAAAATACCTATTCATATTTAAATAAATATTTAATAATCATAGGTTTATCCCTACATCTTAGATTTCACATAAATTCAACCATATAGATCTAGATTTTAACTCAAAAATTCTTAAACATGAGTTTCAACCTCAAAAAAATATTTTTAATATTTATTATATCCCTAAGAGTTTTAACCTATATTTTTAATCCATCATATCATCAGATTAACTATCCTATAGAAAAATTCTAATCAAAATATTTACTCTATCCTACAAAATAATCATATCACTAGGAAGCTAATATTATTTAGAAAAAATATAAAATTAATTTTGTAATTATTAATAAATTTTTAAATGCTAATCTAAACAGAAAAATTAGAACATACCTGAAAAAAAAGAAAATAATCCCCCCTTGCGAGAAAACGCCGAGCAACATGAGAGGAAGAGAGAAAAATAATATAAAAATGAGATTGTGAGTCCAAAATTATATATAAGAAAAATTATAGGTCTGAATTTAATTATTCAAACCTTTGGGCCATAAGTTGCAATTTTCTCTAAATTACATTTTAGCCTCTCATGCTTCCTAATGCACACACCCCCTCCTTTTATACATGAAGGCACCTTATCTCTTCCCTCATCTAACTAATGTGGGACTTAGAAACAACAACCTTCCACCTTTTTTTTTATTCCTTCCACTTTCTCTTTTTTTTAACACACACATAAAAAAATTATTTATGTATTATATCTTAACTAAATATTACTTATGTGGTTTTAAATTTAAATTTTTAAATTCATAATTAAAACTATAATATTATTTCTAAATAACCTCAAATAATATAAATTCCTATTATTATCATTTTTTTAAAACCTAAATTTCATAATTTCTTTATTATATAAAAATCAGGATGTTATAGCTATTATGTGTTACATTCATTTGGTATATATAAGTTATTTTTAATTACATAATCAAAATCAATGAAAAATAGTTAAACCATTAA